GATTAAAACAAACACACTCAAATGAAGTTGAAAATTATGAATTTTAAAGAATCGGTTTGTGCCTTGGGGATTTTAATTTTTTTTTGAAAAAGATGGGAAAATATAAAAGTGAGTATCAATGACTAATATTAAAATAATGTTAAGAATTCAACTTGACCAACTCTTTTTTTAAAAGAAAATGAAAAAAAATTAAGTTACATACGATGTAGACCATTTTTTTTGTAAATACGCAGTAAATGACATATTGGTTGATAGATCTAATAGGCAACTAAATAGTATATGGTGCGGTTAGTGGGTTTAATAACAAATTATTCCTTCACAAGAACTTTGATGTTCGATTCATGTGGGCAAGTAAATTTTTTGAAGTCACCAATGTAATGAATTCTTAGAATAATTGTTAAAATGAACCACACCAATATTTAAAAACAAAACCGCTGATGGCGGGATTCGAACGGTGGTTCGTATCGCGTATAGTCGCCAATGCTAACAAATACGCCATTCTAAAACATTTGATATAAATGTGAAGTAGTATTCTATTTAAACTTTAAAAAATCTGTTGATCACCAAAACTGCCCAAAACTGGTTCCAATCTTACCGGGCGGTTAGCGGTTAGATCAGCCGGTTTTGCGAACAATGGTTTGGACAGTTATTGAATTCTGTTAGCTGAATTAGCTAAACTAATTATATTTTCTTCCTTAAGAGAGAAACTGAGAAATTGAATCCAAGCAAATTCAAATTATGTTCCATATTGTACCTGAGGTTCTTTAAACTGTTTCTGAACTTGTTTGGGGTTCTCCAGAACTCTATCCAACCAAAGCAATCATATTTCCCTTGGGTTAATGGGTAAAACAATGAAGGTATCCTATAATTATGTGTTCTTAATTGGGGACACTATGGTTTATAACTTGTATATGACCTGTCATTTATTTGAGGACCTTTAAGGCTTTAGTGAACTTACCTTGCACCCCATTGTCCCACCATATGTAGAGAAAAGAAAGAAAACCCTACATATTGCCATCTCTTCTTTATTTGAGGGCCTTTTAGGCTATAGTGAGCTTACCTTGCACCCCATAATTCCACCATGTGTAGAGAGAGGAAAGAGAAACCTAGATATTGTTATCTCTTCTTTGATGAAGTGCTATTGATGGAGTTTATGAACTAATGCTTGATATTTTGTACAATCCATGGAAGTCAGTTACAAACTCAGTGTTTAAACTGACTCAATTGCTTCTGCCTAGGAGTGGAGCAATATCATTTTACAACTTAAAAGGTTCTTTAATACAAGCCGAACAATTTTACAGCATCTTTTCATTAGTTTTTTCTGAATGTATCTTCTGAAAATTATGCGAATTCATTATAAATCTTAGCTGAAGTACATTTAATTATGCCAGTTGAAAATGCAACTGTATGAAGGAATTGTGGGTTATTTGGAGGAGTAATATACGTGTGGTTTGGTTTGTCGTTTAGACTGGATCAAATGTCCCACTGCGGGATGTGAATCTGGATGTGTTAATTTATTATGCTTGACATATGCAATGATGACAGCAGTAGGTTTTATATTTCGGGTTTCAAACATGTCACATATTGGGGGCATTAACATATACTGAGATTGATAGAGTAAGCTTTTCGTTTGTGGTAGTTCCATAGCTTGCATGTGACCTTAATGAGGGATAAGTGCTTGTACATTTCTTAGTAGTGGATTTTATATTATTTCGCAGAAAATTAATTTTTCTTTAGTTTTGTTCATTGTTTTTATGTTTTACACTTGTACTCACGGTAAAAATGCGAATATGTTGAACCATAAGCCGCACTATACTATGCTTGACTGAACCTCCTTATGCCTTTCCCAGAGTAGCGATAGTGTCCTTCTGTGAAGGAGCATGAGCGTAACGAGAGCCGCCGGGCGATAGCAATAGCAAAAAATGAAATTTCATGGACAGGCTTGGGATGTTTCTAGATTATGAATGAAAAGCAACATTAACGACCTCTGTTCCTAGTTTTTTTCATTTGGGATGATATAAGCCCTAAATCTTTGCTGGGTTGTATACATTTGAATTTGATTATCAACTACTTACCCAAAAAAATAAAAATTGATTATCAACTTGTTTGACCAATGATGACAGTGATATGCCATCAGGTATTGTCTTTCGTCTAGGTAGATACATGAATGCTTGTCTTAACCCTAACATAGATTACCTTTTCATTCACTTATTCCATGTTGTGAGTTAGCTCATTGGTTTATAATACTGACATCATGTCATAGAGAAATAGCTATGAGAAGGCAGTGAGACAATATGATTGTCCAAGAGATATCCCATTGTCTTTGTCTCCTAGTACCGTTCTTCTTTTTTGTATACACTGTGATGAGGAGGACTTGGGGCCTATTTGGGAAGTAAAGGTCCAAAAGGACTATTGGATGCAGGAATATTGCTTGAATGTCCATTCCTTTTGTTTCTTTAAATAACTAGGTTGCCAAATGGCGCATTATGAGAAAACCATAAGATCCTTTGAATATTATGATGGGTTTGAGGTTGCAAGTTTGTTTTGCATTGACTCATGAGGGCCTACTTTATGTCTTGGTTAGGGGCCCTTCGTCCCAATGTCTTGTGGGTGCCCAGGGCTCTTGCTTGAATGTTCGTCTTTTACTACCTAGATATTTGAGCCATGGCTCTTGCTTCATTTCCAAGAGGCACCACTATGATGTGACATTTAATAAGTTGAAGGACAACTAGGCGTTGGCCGATCCTCCTTAGTGGGGCTTACATATTATATGCGTTGTATTTATGAAATGAATCAGAGGATCATTTTGTTTGGTTCTGTAACTGAAGGATGATTTAAAGAATTCAAAAGCAAGTTGTTGAGGCATAAACAATATAATGTCAAATTTTTAAAAGAAAATGATCTTCTTTCATAACTATTGAGAAAGAATAAGATCCTTCAAATATTACGGTGGGAATTTTCAGGGCTAAGTAATCCATTTGGATGTGAATACCTCCCATGTTGACTGACAATGCTACTTTATTGCTTCATTTGGGTTCTGCGACCTTTTATCTTGGTGGTGCACTCTATCCAAGGTATTGGACGCGTGGCTTTGGCTTGAATGTCCATCCTCTCACTACCTATGTTGCTTTTCCATGACTGGAAGGACTGGTAGAATTTGAGGCTTTGTTATGGTGGTCACTCTAACTATTGAACATATTCTATTTCTGGCTTTCATGGAGCTAGCCAGCCTTCTTTGGAGGCCATGCAGAGGTATTAGTTCTGATTATAAATTGCATTGAGGAATGATGTCAAAATATTGCAAATGAAAAGAATTGATACAAACTTTAACACTTCTTTTTATTGCACAGTTAGGGGGAAAAGAATATTATCCACTTAAGTATTATGGCTTTGTGAAGGGATTAGTGATCCCATTAGATTTGAATACCTCCAGATTGACTCATTAACATCCTTATGGCTTGGTTGGGGACCTTTACCTGGGATATCTTTGCAGTGTATTCATCAACTGGAAAGCTATATGGTGTAATTAATACACAATAAACTGGGAAGGTATATGATAGGTTTTCATTGGAAGTTACCAAGCCTTCACAGTCCCTTGCACCAGGATTGTACTTTACAAACTGGAATTTGCTTGGTTATATGGCCAATCCAATTTCAAAAAAAGGAAATTTGCTTGATTAAATTGGAGTTATAACCCCCATTTCTTTTAAAATGGATGTTCGCTGAGTTATAACCCAACCCCCATTTCTTTTAAAATGGATGTTCCTTGCTAAGTTGAAGAGTCAGAACAAGTTTTCGGAGGCACTTCTACATAAAGATGCATCAAGGATTTTATTTTTTGCTCCCTTTTGGATGTATAATTGTTGGCATTTTCTTCCAAAACAAAAGAAGATGCCAAAGGAGATCCAAAGTAGCAATGAGTCATGAAACAAGTACTTTTGTTCTATTATTTCAGTGAGCCATATCATTATTATAACGTCAATAGGGATCATTTTCATCGATGAAAAAGAAGAAGTGAGGATCACCTGTATGGATAATCTTTTTGATTTTTGTGATATGGACTGGCCAGCACAAAGGCAGAGTGCAAGTTTAAGATTTTCATGTGTTAACAAATATCACATTCAAAAAGACTGCTTCATTAATTTTCATAGTTGCGACATTTAACATCTTCATTGATTTCGAGCTGCAACATGAGAATATTTGAAGATTTTACGAATTTTCAAATTATTTTTCACTAATATGTATGGCGTGCATTTAGCCCCTTGCATACTCAAGTACAATCCACAGGGCAGGCTGGATCAGATTGGGTTAACCAACCCAAGTGACTTGATTGGGTCAGGTTTGCCTGGGTCCGGACATCCCAATCAATGTTATTAAATTCGCTTTGGAGAGCTCTTCGTTTTGGACAAAAAGAGAAGCACTTCGTTTCTTTGGAAGATTCAGGAGAAGTCTTAAAGTGTATTTTGACTGTAAAAATAAGAGATATGTATAGCTTGCAACTTCTATAAAATCTTTAATATAAAGGCATATCTTATGAACATATGAATATTATGAGTTATACTTTTCAAATTTTTTTATATTTAATGACTGCTTTTATGTATATGGGGGGTACTCTGAAAATGTTACTCATATATTCATTTTAGTGGGGAGTGATTCACTTCTCTTCAGTTTAGGGCTTGAAGTCGAAGACCTCGGCATTGGTCCAATTTTCAATGAGGTCAGGTTTGCATGTTGGATCTATAGCTAGTTAAGAACTTTCTCTTTGCCCCACTCTTTGCTGCTCATGCACACGCATTCAAGCAAGCACGCACGGACACACACACAGGCACGTGTGTGTCTGTGTGTGTGTGTGGAGAGAGAGAGAGAGAGAGAGAGAGAGAGAGCTCCATCACATCTTAATGCTTAGAGTGTGTGTGTGTGTAGAGAGAGAGAGCTCCATCACATCTTAATGCTTAGAGTGTGTGGGTGTGTGTAGAGAGAGAGAGCTCCATCACATCTTAATGCTTAGATCATAGGCAAATGTTGTCACTGCATCCATCTCTAATGGATTAGAACAACAAGACTGGACATGTCTCATACCATTCTACGTTTTTGTTCATATGCTATGACAATAATCTCCTTGAAGAATATGTAAGTTTACTTTGCAGCTGTTAGTTGAATGTCATAACTCGAAAGGTTTGCACATTTTTTCTTTTCTTTCTTTCCTATTTAAATAACTCTATATTCTTAACTCATTTGAAGGCACCACTCTCTAAAATTGTTATGTACAGACTGCAATGAATCTTTGAAGGACATATATTTAGAAGATAATGAGACATATGTGCAAGCATTTTTACTTATCTTCTCCCTTGGGGCTCTTCTTGGCATCTTGGTTCATCTTTAGCTTTCTTTCGTTAATTTGAAGAGAGTGACAACACAGCTATAGAAAAAAGAGAAGAAAGTATTCTCAGTACTAGTTTTTCTTAAAAACCAATGTTATGATTGTTATATGAATTTGTTGAATGCTATGATCAGATGATTTTAATGCTGTCTAAGTTGGCAGCATAAAAAATTGGGTAAGTTAAGAGTATCTAATGTAGCATTAGATGTGTGTGATTTCATTTGCTTAGGCTGCTGATTCATCTCCTTTTTAGTATGTAAGTATAATAAAAAAAGGCTAATAAATGCTGATAAATTACTAAATGTGTCCAATTAAGCCAAAAGGTTACATGCTCCCATAGGAACATATCCTAGATTCACTTGGGTAAAACCCCTACTTTAGCGACAAACTTCAAAAAAAGAAATCCATACATTCTATATATGTTTCTGAAAAATAAATGTCCTAAGATTGAACAAAGACCGTCAAATTTTTGGACAATCGGATCTAAGTGTTTAGGAAAATGAAATTCAATTTTCATTTTAGGGAAATACCCTTCTAGTGATTCTAAAGTAGATTCAAAATTTCAGATTGAGAAAATTTTCCTAAGTAGGTCTTTTGCCTGAGGAGTAGATATGCAATATGCTTAGGAGCACGCCACATGCACTCTACATGAAATAAACGACTAATAAACTGTTCTTCCAGAATTTACATGTTATGGTGTTCTCATTGCTTGATTACATTGTGTGTAATGGAGGAAGTAGATCTGTTAGATCCTTGGTATATATGTAGAATGTTCTAATTGAACTAAAAAAGCTATCAATATCATGAATTTCAAGGTTCTCTTAATTTATTTTTCTGGTTTTTCTTGATTGATGAGATAGTTGAATCTGAAGAGTTTAAGCTTTGACTCAGCTCGGAGCATGGCCTGGTCCCAAGCTTAGTTGAATCTGTTTACTTTGAATCTTTGTAGAGAGCAACATAAAATGGAACGATGAGGGTTTGTCTTGTGATGCTCCATGAGACTTAACTGGTTTCTAGTCCAGTTGACTCATGACTCACCCAAGTCAACTCAATGAGTTTTAGAACTCAGTAAAGCATAAGAGGTATTTCATAAGCCATAACAAGAGCCGCACCAATCTATGGTGGCAAAAGACTCTTTTAACCCAAGTCCTTCCTTGCGTACACCTGAGTTTGCTAAACCATTAGATATTGATTTATGTTTCCCTATGTAAATAACAAATGTCAATTACATTATTTGTCCAATCCTCAAACATTTCTGTTGCTTAGAATGTGTATTCAAATCTATTAATCTCATCTGTCCAGAAAAAGGCTGCTTCTTCTTATACCATGTTCACTATACTTCCATCATCCTTTTTAAAATCATCATCATCAATTTGCAGCATCCTGAGATTATCAAGGTTAAAAAATATTGTTTGCCATTCTTATGCTAATCTATTTTGCAGGCTACACCGTTTCTTGCAGGATTGGCAGTTGCTGCTGCTGCTCTTGCTGGTAGATACGGAGTCCAAGCATGGCAAGCATTCAGGGCACGTCCAGTTGCACCTCGGATGCGGAAGTTTTTTGATGGTGGTTTTCAACAGACAATGACTAGAAGGGAGGCTGCTCTTATCCTAGGCATTAGGTAAATCGCATTTAAAATGTGGGGGTGCATTTTGTGTGTGTGTGCTTCTCTAGATCATCATACCTTGAACTCTGACCACTATATTGGTCACTCTGTTTGCCAGACCTGCTTCTGTGCTAGTGCCTTACCTCTTGTATTGATATATCCTCTATATTATTCATTATCTTTTTTTTTGGGTAAATATTTTATCATTAACTTACTATCTTCTTTTTTTTTGGATATGCTGTATTGTACCTGCTTCTGTGCTAGTGCCTTGCCTCTTTTATTGATATATTCTCTATATTATTCATTATCTTTATTTTGGGTAAATATTTTATCATTAACTTACTATCTTCTTTTTTTTTGGATATGCTATATTGTACTATCTTTCAAAAGAATGTAAAATTCCATCTATATATAATATTCCATTGAGCGTTTTAGTATTTGTTAAACCATCCAAATGCCTTCCACTTACAAATCACAGAGCAGGTATTTTACACCCACGCACAATCTCATGTTGCGCACATTGTTATAGTACATATAAAAAAAATTCGTACATATAAAAAAAATGCCCTCCACTTACAAATCACAGAGCAGGTATTTTACACCCACGGTGGGGATTTGGGTCCCTATTCATTTTTCATTAATAAGTAAGAATGTTACAAAAGGATATAGAGTTTACGGTACAATTCTTTCATGCAAAGTCCTGGCCTAAACCGTGGCCTTAGAGACACTTGCAGCACTCTTGGCCAGGTGATCAGCCACCGAGTTGGCCTCTCGGTAGACATGCGTAATACTCTAAGGGTGACCATCCAGGTGGTAAAGGCAGTTTGCTGTCATAATATAGAGATTCTAGGGAGCTTATGGCGGCCGTGAAGGGAATGCATTAGAATCTGCGAATCGCTTTCAATGAGCAGTGGAAAGCAATTCAGCTCCATATCTAGCTGAAGGCCACTTTCAAGGGCTGAAAGTTCAGCAACATTGTTGGATGTGTGCCCTAGAGGAACAACAAAAGTGGCACAAAACCCTCCCATGTCATTTCTGATAACTCCGCCACAATCAACCACTCCAAGTTTGCCATGAGATGAGCCATCAATGTTTAATTTATAGAAACCTGCTGAGAGTGGAGACCATGAGGCCAAAATTGAAGTTTTAGGGTTCCACTGGATTTTTAGGTTGTCAACTATAGGCTTCTCTGACACGTGGAAAGTCCATCCTTTCTCCTTTGCAACAATAGAAATGATCCATTGCAACAATTGTTCTCTTTTGGGTCTCTTTCCTTCAAAGATACACAAAGTCCTTGCAGTCCAGAGGAGCCAAATGGTTGTGGAGAATAGAGGGATCCAAATGTTACATAATCTCGTCGATCAGAACCGGAATTTGACCTAGCTCTCAAATATTGAAGGTATCGATGGGCTTATAGGGAAACATTTGCCACATTGGCACATAATAGAGCACCAGAGAACCTGCGAGAAAATAAATAACTAAGTAATATGGTTAATAGAATCACGTTCATTCAGGCACAAGGGGCAACGGAGATGGATCCCTTTGGATTGTAATAGTTCTGATGTAGGGAGGCAAATATGAAGGGGCAATCCAAGTGAACCATTTGGTCCGAGGGTGGGAATGAGAAGCCCATATAGATTTGAAGATCTCTCTGGTGGGGAGCTTGTTTCTAATATAGTTTCAAGCGCTCTTAATAGAAAAAGATCTGTCCAGGGAGTGAATCCATACAAGGAAATCATCAAAAGATTGGATAGGGACTGTGAAAGACTTCACTGCTATCCAAGCTCGAAACAAAGGCCCACTAGTAGTTCTTCGCAAAGAATAGGGCCCAGTGGTGCGATCAGGCAGACACCATTGTTGGGGGTTAGCAGAGAGAAAATCAGCTAGACTAGACTTTGCTGGTAGAGCCAAGTTATGTATATTATGTTCAAACTTATCCCAGATAGAGACCTCCAAAAGCCATGGATCTACCCAAAATTGGATGAAATTATCGTTATCCACAAAGTCTATTTAAACCAGAAGAGATGCCCTTCCAGGCATGAGACGAGTTCTTGAGTTTAGATAGCTATGGAGGAGTTTCTGAAATACTTGTGTGGGAAAATCTAGAAATAAGAGAGGAGGGGTTTGCAACCAGCCTCCAAGCAAGCTTCATCAATGCTAGCCAAGTTCACATTCTGTAAATGTCTAATACCAAGACCGCCCTCCTCAAAGGGAAGGCAGATAGTCTCCCAATTTAGAAGATGTAGTTCTTTCATATCTGAAGTACCTGCCCGAAGAAAGTTTCGCTGACATCTATTTAAAATATTGCACGTCCGAACTAGCAGAAGGAAGGCTAGAATCCAGTCAGTGATTCAAAAAGCGGACCGCTCAGCGCCTAGGTGGTCCAGAAGGCCTGGGCGCATCACCCAGGCCTAGGCAGCCAATCTGGGCAGCAGTCCCTGGGTGGTCGCCTAGGCGGTATGGAACCTGCCTAGGCGAGCGCCCAGCCCAGGGCGTCCGCCCAGGGCCTGTGCCTCGCCTAGGCGGTATGGAGCCTGCCTAGCGCCTGCCCAGTGGCGGAAATTTTTTTTTTTGTATTGATTTTTTTTAAAAAATATAAAGGGTTAGAAGGATGGTTTTAAGTTCATTTGAAACTTAAAACTTATTGGAGCCCATTTTAGAGAGAGAAAGCCTCCAAAAAACTAGTTTTTGGTGATTTTTTTAGGATTGAAGGGTTTCTCAAAGTTGACAAAAATTGATCAAAACATCACCCATTGATATTAGATTTAATTTTTGATGTTTTACAAATCTGTTGGGGTTTTTTTTTTAAGATTGAGCAATCAAACTCAAAGCAAGTGCCTTAAATACCTAATTTTTATTTTTTATACTATATGTCCTGTTTTTATTCAAATGGGCATCCTTTTTGGATTCAACTGGGCCGCCCAGGTTCTAGGCGCTGGGCGGCCTGGACCCCCCAGACCGCCTAAGAGCCTCCTAACGTTTTTTGAAACACTGAATCCAGTGGATCGAGGAAGCACTTAAGACCGACTTAATCAACTGACGTCTGCCTGCAAAAGATAGTGTTAAAGCTTAACATGACTGAATTTTTGCAACTGTGTTCCCCACCAAAGCCTAAGAATGGGAGTGTTTTAGAGCGCCATGAAAGAGAGGCAACCCAAGATATTTCTTTGGCAAACCCCCTTCCCCAAAATGGAGAATATCCATAATTTCTAATTTGAGTCCATCACCACCACCAAAGAATAGAAATTTTCTTTTTTATCGTGTTGAGTTTTTCCCTGGGGCCCCACAGAAAGAATCCAGGATGTTACTTACTGCAATTGCTGCCTTACGAGATGCCTCATAAAAAATTGGGACATCATCTGCGTAGAGTAGTTGAGAAACCCCATAGCTCGAGCCAAAGGGGAAAGTTGTCGGTAGGGAGCCATTTTTAAAGGCCTCCTCCAACTGGCTACTCAGAAAATCCATAACAATTAATAATAAGAAAAGAGATAAAGAATCACCCTCACCCTGTCGCAACCCTGCTTACTTATGACCTTTAGGCGAGCCATTAACCAATATGGAAATGCTAGGCATACTAACACAATGCTTTACCTAGGTTATAAACTTATCAGGAAACCCCAAAGCTGTCAACCACTTCAACACAATGTCCTAGGATACCCTATCGTAGGCACTGCTCATATCTAATTGGAGGCACATTTTGGGTTTGCTGGCTGGTTTGTGGCACATTGAAATGATTTCATTAGCCATAAGGACATTATTAGTGATGAGTCTACCCTCTAGAAATGCCACTTGATTTGGCATAATAAGAGCATCCAAGACTGTATGTGGTCTGCTAGCCACAATATTGCCCATGATTTTGTAGAAAACATTGCATAAACTGATGGGCCTAAAGTCCTTTAGGGTACGAGGTGACTTATACTTTTGGGATTAAGCAATAAAAGTAGAGTTAACCTCCCGTAAGAACTTTCCCTCGTTAAAGAAATCCCTGAGTGCTGCAAAAAGATCCTGGCAAATAATATCACAACTAAGTTTATAGAACTCAACCCCAAAACTATTTGGACCAAGCGCAGTTTCACTCTTCATACTCCAAATACATTTTCGAATTTCTTCCATCGAGATCTCTCTAGATAAATCTTCTCTTTGCTGATTGGAATGTAACCCCTATGGTAAGAAATTAAAAGGCGATGGGGCATCCTGTGGTGGAACTTGATTTACTGGTATAAGGAATTCTTGAAAAAAGGACAATATATGGGATTCTACCTCAGGATGAACAGAGATAGCATTTCCCATTGCATTGTTAAGAAATAAAGTCCTATCACTTCGACACCTCACCAAAGTAGACATATGAAAAAACCTGGTATTAGAATCACCTTCTTTGAGCTAGACTTCCCTCGATTTCTGACCCGGAAGCTTTCTGATGCATGAGTCATTGGATTCCAGAGGAAACGTTATATTAACTCGTTTATCCCTAATACTAAATCATGAGAATGCATTTGACTATGCAATCTCATTAGAGGCTTGATACTTCCATTATGGAGTCCCTTACTTGGCTTGTGCATTCCATGTGCTAACTATATGTCGTACACCAATCTCCCCAACCCACCCCCACCCTTCCCCCTCGCCCCCCCCCAGCTCCCTCCCAGTCAAGTAAAAAATCCCAATCCTTCTTTGATGTATGGCTCTTGTTTGTACACATCTGCTTGGGTACAACTTGCCGCATATATAATCTCCCATTTATGCAATATTAATTATAATGAACAAAGAAACAATTGCATGTGATTATGCCCAATGGGTTTTAGGATGTGGAGAGCTTGGATTTGCTTCTACGTGTGATGTCTTAATCATAACTAAATATGTGCTCATGATGTTTTCATTAAACCTTTCTAAGATATTTCTTTAGTTCCTGACTTCCTATGATATTTGTCAGACCATGATATTTGTTAGAGTGACCCATTAGTTCATCTGCTGTTTTCTTAATGTTGATAGGAGAGTCAGGATTGTTTGGGTTTTATGGA